ATCCATCAGAAAGGGGATGGAAAGAAGGAAGGTGGGTGAGGACATGCAACCGAGGAGCCACATAGCAGAGTTGTAGTCAAGACCACCGAACCCAAGACCAAGTCAAGACCAGCACCCCGCGCTATGTGACACAATTAAGTTTTACCTATCAAAATTGCTTCTCAAATTTATCTGAAATATCCACATTCCCATAAAACACCCAGATATTAAATACTTACAGCTGAAATAAATTTAATCAGTAAAGATCCGTCCAGAAGAATCGGATCGTTCCTGAATGTCATATCAATGCAGACTTTGGTCACAGCGTTGTCCCATAAATGCGACACCTCAGTCAACACCTCCACACAATAATTCGGCACATGAGTGACAACTTTTTTTCATCCCAGATGCAACATGTGTGTCTCAGTCAGTACAGCTAGCTTTGTTAGCATCACGTCCACAGATCTTACCTTCTTTAAGCTTTCCTTCCAAGTGACGCTAAAAGTTGGACGAAGTCCCCACCGTCTATGAAAGCGAAGCGCTGCTTATTTTACATGTCGCCATATCTTATGATTTATGCAGCGCTATTATATTACTGACGATTAGACAGACATCTTCTCCCGCTCAGAGGAAACCAAAGGACATTTCATGGAGCTCCGTGTGCGAGTAAAGGTGGAGGCGATGGGTGACAACAGACACTAAGTCATGTTATTGCTTGGATTTTACGGCGCCACCTTAAGACCCTGAACTTCACATTTTAACGGACAAAAAGCGCAACTTGGATGTAACGAGTAACGCGACGGTTTAGTAGAAATGTAGTGAAGTAGAAAGTACAGATACTTACTGTAAAATGTAGTGGAGTAAAAGTAGAAAGTATCCATTATTAAATCTACTTCAGTAACGTACAAATACACAAAAATGTACTTAAGTACAGTAACGAAGTACTTGTACTTCGTTACTTCCCACCACTGCGCCAAAGCAAATGAACTTTATAGTTAAAGAGTTCGAGTCTGACACAGTAAGGCCAAGCTTGGAAAATGTAGTGACTTCACTAGCAGAAGATGCTTATTTTCATGATGCAGATTTTTTCCCAAGAGGGATAATTACTAAAATCTTTTCTGCATCACATAAGTAAGTAACGGAACACTTGGAACGGCTTTGGAACACATTCACCTATAGTTGCTAATACACAAAGTGACCAGCAGAGGGTAGCAGATCCCCAGTTTAGGATGTATGTCAGTGTCTTTATTTTTTAGTTTTTAGGGTGATTTCCTCAAGGTTTAGTAAACAACAGAAACATCGGATTGAAGTATTTGTTACGTCACTCCGAGATCTTTCTCTGATGTGCTTGACAGCGAATGTGTAAAGGAGATAAATGCTGATTAGCACAAATCCAGACTCACAAAAAGCTCCAGTTACCTCACAAATGTACAATTTAAAATATCCTGTAGAAACTCAGCAATAATGAAGATACAAGGAACACGTTTCACAGCTGGAACCACTGAATACATTCCTCTCACTCTACTGATAATTGTGCCGTATGATGCATTTGGACATGATTTATTCATAAATAATTTAATTCTTAGATCTTTGATTCGGGTAAACAACCTTGGATAAACAACGCTTCATTATGCAAGTGCATTTCAGTAAACTACGATGCAACTGAAAAGTTTATTCAGAAAGTATTTCTCATACATTATGTATTCATCACACACAGTGAGTTATCGCAAGTTTTTTTCTATAAATCTTGATGGTTTTCAGCTGACGAAAAGCTCGGCTCTCAGAAAAGTGAAATACTGCACAAGTTAGTTAAATTAAAAAAATGTTACAAGTGTCAACGCTAGCGACTGAAAGTTGAGTGGAAGGAAAAACTGTATGTTTTCTAATGTTTTGGATTTTGAAATTTAATTTAAGCCATAACAGATTCTCAGTAGATTGTTCAAATTAAGGCGCTTTTGTTTTTTTCTTTCTTTTTTTTTCTTTTATTAAATCTTACTCTAATGTTTATAGTATAAACTGCAGCTGGAGTCAGTGCTTTAAGAAACTTGAAAAACTGTAACACTACTGATTTAGAAAAGTTAGTGTTGTGACAACACCAGAAAAAAAAGAAAGAAATTCTGCATTCTTAGAATCTAGGCTGATTAGTTCTCTACAGAATACATGGAGCAGCTTTAATGAATTTTAGATAAAAATGATTTGCATAGATTTGAGAGAAACTGAAAAGAGAAACGAGCACAACGGCAATGACTTCAGAACTGGGGAGGGGAAAGAAAAAAAAAAGATAAGATGAAAGCAGGAAGAACAATATGACAAAGTGACACAAGAGACTCTCAGTTCAGTGCTTTAATGTGTACAAAGAGATAAATGCTGATTAGTGACATCTCTACGACGGCATCTAAAACATGCCAATACACATGCACAAATAAGACTCTTTTTTTTCCTTCTTCTTCTGTCTGCCACGCATATTTGTACATTTCTGCAATCATCCACACTAAATCCCTACGCACATCATTAGACAGTGTTCCCCCTCCCAGTCTACTGGGAGAGGAGGTATGAAAAAAAGGAAACTGTTTCTGTTTACGAGCCTCTACTTTTCATTAGGTGTGTTACTAAGCAAACAAATGCTAACAGTCAAGGCTAAGTCAGACCTCGGCTAAAACGTACAAAGGGATGAGAAACGAATGAAGCATCGTATGGGTGCAGGAAAGGGCTTGTAAATATTGTTTCTGTTCTTTAAAAAAAAAAAATTAATTAATTGTACTCAAAGAGACCCAGTCTGATCTGATTTATTACAGAAACTCTGCATTTCTTTAATAAAGTACTGAAATCTGCTTCAAATCCAGGGTGAACAATCTGAACAAGCAGATGAGCTTGAAAATAAATCAGTAAGTCTTAGTTGTGGGATTGAAACCCTTATAAAGTATTTTGTGTGTGTGTGTGTGTCAGTCTTAATAAGAATCAGTGTATCCTCTCACATCTTGCTTTTACTAAAGCATCATTGAAACACATAAGTTAATTTTAACCCCCAAAGTGCTGCTTCACAAAGACATCCGTAGTCAGCAAAAGGAAGCTTAAATAAATAAAGCTTAAATGGCACAATCGTAAGTTGTAATAAAAATAAATCCATCAGATGTGTCCCCCTTACATCGCCTGAGAAGAGACAAATTAGAAAAATTGTCATGGAATAAAAAAAGGCGATTGCTTATAAGACACGGGAATAGAAAGGCAGTAGAAAATAACCAAAACAAAATCTGCTTTTGAAACAACACCATGTGAGAGTCCAGATAAAGTCACTGCAGTTCTTATTCTTAATTGTCCAGATTAGATAAAATTCTGGATGAATAAAGCAACGCCAGGCTAAAACGTCACCAAAACCAATTTAAAATGTTAAAACTGAGTTGTTTAGGAATGTATTTGTTTATTGTGTATTTTTGTACACGTGAAAATTAGCTTGACGCATTTCAAGTGCCTTGACGTAACTTTTGCTTTGAGATGTCGTGATACAAATAAACTGAAATTTAATCACTTGTAGCTACATTTTCTGTCGTTTGAAGAAAGTGGTCAGAAAAGAGCAAAACATAAAATCATGTGATTTTACAGAAGCAGGTTTTCTTTGAAAAGGTTTTGATATTAAAACAAAAATTACGAGCCAAAATGCAAGGTTAACCAAATTTTGAATAAACAAATTATTGAAGGCTCTTTTAAGGTGAATTAAAAAAAAAGAATCTGTGTGATGTATATGTGTGGACTGATTATCCTGAGTTAAAAAAATATGTTCAAAATATGCAAAGTGAGGACCACTCTGGCTTTCTTTACCAAAATCTACAACCTTTTTTTTCTGATTGGATATAAGAACCTTTAGCCTGGAACTGCTTTAGCCATGCTCAGGATCTGCTGGCAAAACCAGATGAAAAATCTGTTTTACAAAAAATTTCATCCAGAAAGGTGTTGCTTAGGCATAAAAAACTTGCTGCTTTGGACACTAAGACAAAACAGAAAAGAGTTTCAGTTTTAGAAAATGTGGTGAACATGGTCTAAGCTGTACCAAAATGACAACAGGAGAAAAGTACAGAACAGTAATAAAAGGAACCTAAGAAGCTTAATGTGTCAAAAAGACGACATAAGTTTTTTTGAGTAATGTACAAACCTTTAACGCTACGCTTGTCGACGTAAAATAAACGGATGTCTGTCATTTCCCTGAAGCGCATGGCCACCATCCAAGTCCTTCATTTGTTTTTGGTGGCTGGGGAGTCGGCCTGGAACCTATTTTTGGGATGACGGTTGCGCACCACGGTAAATATGTGACAATGAAAGGACAGCGAATGAAAGACGCTGCTTGAATCTCCAAATATCCACAGGAGAACTGCTTTGCATTCAAATCCCTACACACCTGGAGTGTGGGGCGGAAAAATGAGTTCCCAAGAAGAGGAAAGTAATCTACAAAACAGAACGTAGGGTAAAAAAGAAGACACTTTGAAAGTAGCAGATGATAAGTTATTAAAAAGTACTGAATTAGGAACTATAGTGGAGCCATTAAAGTAATTAATATAAATAAATAAAACCTTTTCAATAGACTGATGTTTTGAAGAAACCCTTGGTACCTCTGAAAAACTAAACAGCAACACTTGGAAAAAAAAAATCTGCCCCTTTAAAGCTTGCTTTTTTGTCACACTTTTATATTTAACAAATTTTAATATTGCAGAGGAATATATGACAAAATATGACACAATCTGGATATAAATGTCAGCCCAAGATTATGTGGCAGGGAGAAGAGAAATAAATGCAGACAATTCTTTCTGCATTTCAGAAAGAATTGTCAGCTAATTCTTTCTGAAATGCAGTAGAGCGTTGAAGTAAAATACCAGACTTTTTTTTCCTACCCTTTCTTAGATCAATTAATTGTGACATTTTCTTCCTACGTACAACTGAGCACATAACAGAATGTCTTCAACCAGAAACTACATATTGAGTGATGCATAAGTTCCTGACATTTACAGTTGACGAGGAGAACAGTTTGGTCCAAGAAAACAGTTTGAATTTATCACTAAGAGAGACTTCAGTAGCCATGGTTACATACACCAAGGAACAGACCTTTTCATTCGTCTGTTCAAATATGTTGTACATAGCAACATATTTGCATTGTGCATTGTCACAGCTGACATGTAGAATGTGACAGTGTTAAATGCAGATCCAGGTTATAAGGAGTTATTAGATACGGTGATCTGGAAAATTCTGTTAGCATTTTGTTTTTAACAGAGGCTAGCTAACTCTGGGTAGCTTTCTCCAATGTTAAAACTCAAATGTATATTTAAGAAAATGGTGTAGTGCTTATAGATATAAGCTATTAGTGTGAGATTTGGTTGTTTCCTTGTTATTTCTGGTTGTTGAAGTCATTCCTTATTTGATCAGTTGTGTTGACAGAGTTGTCTAATACCAAGCTAACACCGAACATCCAGACAACGCTCCCTGACCATCGCCATCAGTTTTCAGTGAACATTTGCAGACAATGTTCTCTGAATGTCAACACAAAATACAATAAAGCTTTCTGGGAGCGTTGTCTGGTCGTACACGAACAACACTCAACGTTTGATGATGTTCTTGTACATTTTCTACAAATGTACACAAAATGCTTGCAGATAACATTCAAAATGAGATTAAAGACTACCAAGGCAAAAGAAATGGTAAAAAAAAAAATATAACGCTACCGTCAGTGAATGTCGTCTGAACATTTGCTTGCTAGATGGGAAAAACTTTTTGTCGAACTGACTGAGAATAATCTTAAATCAGAGTGATAGATAAAATAGGAACGATTTGTGAGTTCTGAAAATACTGTGACTGACTAACCTGTAGCAGATGCTAAGGTTAGCATCTGTTTCAGGGTTTCCTATTGATGCTAAGCTAGTGACTATTTTGCGATTGTTTTTTAAGTGAGTCTGGAGTACATTTGATCAGTCTAAAATTAAACTGTTTGAGATGTGTGAAATGATTATTCAGAGAGATAGGCAAATAAAGCTGTTGCTAACAGCTAAGACTAAGAAAATTATCTACTACAAACAGGCCATTAATTAACATCCAAATAAAACTCCACTTTGAAATTTCTTAAGTTACCCATCATTTGTACATTTTTGTACAGGCTGGGATTTGTTTAGTTCAGTGAACACATTCAAAAATTCCCTCTGTATTCTCCAGATGCTGGCTGGTAGGAGTAAATGTGAATCTAAAGCAATTGCTTCACTGGAATCTGTAAATAGTGTCGCAAGTAAAAGACACAGCATGTATTACTCATTACTTGTTTTGCAAAATAGCTCTAAACATTTCCACATTACACCACATTGCAACCACAAGCTCCAATGTATTTGATTGGGGCTTTATGTTGGACCTGCAGTCCCAATAAAATGCATCAAACTCTGAGGTTGTTACATGAGGAAATGTGGACAACCAGAAGGGGAAACAATGCTTTTTGCAAGGCACAGGTTACTGACAAAGATTAAGTTTTCTATTAAAGCCAATATCTTCTACCTGTAGCGTGGCTACAGAGTTAAGCATATAGATTTTTTTCTTCTGGGGACACAGAACACCCAACTTACAAGCTCAAATGGATTATAGCAAAATGTACAAGTGTAGGTCTTGCCACTCCTGCTTTTCCTGATCACAAATACTGAATACAACCTAATGTGTTGATGACTTGGAGAAAGGCACAAATGGAGAACTGTTGAGTAAATTATGGAATACTATGTGGAACCATGATAAAACTATCACTTAGTACAAGAAAAGTTGAATGAGCTCCGATTAACTGCCTTCTCTAAAGAGTAAAGATTGAACATTCACCCTTTATCTGCACCTGTTTGAATTCATTTAAAGGTATGTATGTGATTTTTGTGTGAGATATTGTTTTTATGTCAGACTGAGCCAAACCATCCTTTCCACCCCCAACTTGGCCGAGCAATTTCACCGAATGCAGCCAGGAAATGAGACAAGGCATGAAAGCCCCGAGGAATCTCAATCAGATGAGTGCATAATTACAAGATTCCATTCAGAACAATCCCCCTTTATCTCACGGCCGTTGTGCATGTAAACCTGACTACTGACGGGCTGACAACACTCCTTTTTCACAGAGAGAATTACCGGAGGGCGAAACCGAACACCAAATGACAGGTGGCTGGAGAAACTCCGTTCAATTGGCAATCGAAGACGCTTGGAGGCCTCGGAGGGCCGTACTGTCTTACAACCCCCGACCGTGGGTAATCAATCATGACAGCTGCATGTGCACTCCCCGTGGGTTGCCGTGGTAACAGACAAGTGGGTCGATAACGGAATATTGAGTGGGTGTCTTACGTTTTTTTTTTATTCCTGCCCTCACCTTCCTCCAGGAAGAGTCTGTCTGTTGAAAAGTTATGAGGATGTGATCTGCTTCCACACCCTTGCGGAACCTCAGGGACTCCAAAGGGCTCTGAAAAACAAAACGGCTTCTGCGTCTAACCAAGCCGTAGGTTTTGACAATGGAACAGGAAACCGAGATGAAGAAATTTGAAGGGATCCAGCCAAAGAACATGCAACAATTTTCTAATTAACAGAGTCAAAAACTTGGGTTTGTGGAGCCAAGAACAGAGGGAGAGTTGTTGAGTCTACGGTCGACAGGTTTTTTGAAGGGTATTACACAAGTCTTAGCAATCGCTGCCAAGATGGTGAGTCCGCATCAAAAATTCTTTTGACAGAGGCAAAAAAAGGTGATATCTTGAATATCCGCTTTAATTCCAACGGTCAAAGCTTGAGTCGCTCAAATCTGATGTTCATTACTTCCAGCACATCCTGGGAAATCAGGTGTTAAAAAAACATAACCCCCCCATCCCCATCTTTACTTCTTTGCCAAAATGTAGCTGTGAAGTTCCCAGCTGTTATTGGAGTTAGTAGTAATCCTCATAGCTCTTTGGGTTGAGGCAGTAGAGGACTCCCCCACCAAAGGAAAAGATGGTCCCTCCCCAAGCCAGCCCGTAGCCCCAGTTGAATTCATGATAGATCCTCAAGTTGATACTCTCGATGAACTTGATGGGGAAGAGGACCAAGCTGCAGGCCTGGAGGACAACTGGAGAAGATAAGGCATGATTAAATACAAGATGTTACTTTCAAAGTACAATCATAATGTTATTCTGTGCTCAGCATCGGCAGAGAATAAGTAGAACAATCAGGAATGTTGTTAAGGAAGTGTAAACAGCATTACTTAAATATGTCCACAATTAGAAAACAGCTTAATTTAGTGAAAGTACGCCACTTCAATAACATTGCACCAACAAATGCATGTGTACTGCCAAGCTCAGACCACACTATGTTATCTGGATCAAAGTGTGGCTCATCACTGTCAACTCAGTTTTGACATTAAAGACTTAAAATACACATTTGTTTATATCTATGCATCTGAAATTGTGTATAACCACTTACTAAACTCTATTAGTAGGTGCACCTAATAATATATTTGCTAGGTCTACCTAGCAAATAGGTACACCTATTGGGTTGGGTTTGATGACCCAGTTTTGGGCATAAGCAAAAAAAAACAATACTATGTTGGACGACCTTTGCCTATACTTCCTGGGATAGACGTTACATTTCTCAGGTTCACAGTCAATATGTGCATCTACATCTCAAAAGTGCTCTACTGAATGGGGATCTGGGGATTATGGAGGGCAGAGTTCAAGGTCATGTTCACAAAAAGACAATAAGATCATTTGAATTTTTTTCAAATGAAGCATCTTGCTAGAAGTAACCATTAGAAGACGGGTACTCTTCTACCCATCTTTGCCTTAAAAGATGGGTATTGTCAACTCAGTTGGTACAAAAGATCCAAGAAATTGCTAAGAAAATATCCACAATAGCATTACACCACCACCAGTCTGAACTGTTGATGCAAATCAGGATGAATTGAGGGTTTGATGCTTACGCTAAATTCTAGAGTTTGAATGTTGGAGATTAAATCAAGGCCCGTTGGACCAGCCAACATTTTTCCACTCTATATCGGTTCCAGTTTGGTGAGGAAGTGTGAACTGCAACCATTTCCTGCTTTTTGTTGCCAGAAGCAAAAGTGGTCCTCATCTCCTTACAGTTGGATCTTCCATAAATCCTGACTGTACTTTTTTTTTGTAGTTATCCTTAGAGTAGCTATGTGAATTATATTAAAGAAGTCGACCTTATTCCCATTTGACCTCTAACATCAAAGAATTTGTGCTTGCTGTCCTCTTTGGATATTTTCTCTTTTTAGAACCATTTTATGTAAACCCAGAAGATGTATGGCTGTGACAAATCCTATTAGCTCAGTGGTTTCTGAAATACTAACATCGGCCCGTCCGGTACCAGCTGCTATGCCACATTCAAAGTCACTTAGATCCTCTTCTTCATTCTGATGTCCGGTTCAAACTTCAGCAACTTGTCTTCATCACGTCTGGGTGCCTAAATGTATTGAGTTTCTGCCATGTGAACGGCTGATTTGTTATTTGAGTCAACAAGACCTTGATAGATGCATCTCATAAATAGTCTAGTGAGTGAATGAACTTTCATCACTCGCTTGTAGATGGAGCAAAGTATTATTCCTAAAGCTTTTTGCAAGACAAATAAGACAAATAAGATAGCGAGCCACTCTTATTCAATAAGTCCTAGTTTGTCACTCCCAAAGGTCTTCTGTGTTGATTTACAAACTACTCTCTGTGTCCCTTATGCCCCCCAGATTTATGTCTTTAAAGTCATCTTTGCAATTGCCGGAACTTACTTAATTTGCTTCGAGTGCACTCATACCCAAATCTTTCCAACTATACTTCATTGACAAAGTTTACTGTAAAATCTAGAAGGCCGTCGAAGTTACTGGAAATTAGAGGTTAGCTAGGTGCTAACCATTTTAGTGATCCTTAAAAATGATTTCTCATTGGTTTGGTCTTGGACTTAGACTTGGTCTTGGGTTATTTTACATCAATTTAGAGAATTTTTTTTTAAACAGAATTTGTTCAATCTAACCACATTGGCTAAATTCCAAAGTTTGAGTTTGTGAATTGAATCTGAATGAGATTTAAGCCCAGATTTTGAGTAGCCTACTCCAAAATCTTTTCTGAGCCACTAACAGGAATGAATACTGGCTGATATTGTGGGCCGTTTCTCATCTGGTCTTGAATTTGTTTAAAATGGGGGATTATGTGTCGCCTTTGAGGTCTTGTAGTCGACCTCATGCTGTCAGCAAAGAATTAGCTGAGCAATTTCTTGACTTGACAGTAATCATACCTGTGGGTTAGTAAAACAAAGCCTCCAAAACGGTTAATCAAAATTAATTAATGGGCGTAGATTCCTTTTATAATAGTAAATATGTGGAAACTGCTTCTTGTGGCAAACATAAGACAGGCTATCATTTTCTGACATTAAAATCTGAAAGATCTAAGAATGACAAAAAAGCAAAATCAGAAGAAATCTGTAGGCAACTCTATCTCTACCGATACGGCACCATCGCCGTAGGCTGAGGCAGAAGGTACGCCTGACCCTGTGCTTCTGAGTTTTTTTGGTTTGCTCTCTCAGCCCCTCATATGATGGGGCAGACAAACTCATACTGAAGTTGTCTGATTCGACATGAAGGATTCATCATTTTAATGAAATTTACTTTTTTTTTAATGAGGTAGCAGTTTGGAGTTCACTTTTGGGGCACCAGAGAGGAAAACAAGCTCTGGCATCAAACTGTTGCTCTTCTGAATATACAAAATAATACAAAGTGGATGCATAACACCAAGTACTACTACGCAAATAACACAGATGGTGTTACAAACAAATCTCAAAGTGGATGTTGGTGTGAAAAACAAAAAAAAAAATCAATCATTCATGAAGGGTTCATGTAGTTTTTGTGGTCAGTATTTAAAATGTCATGTAAAAAAGGTTGTTTAGTTCGGATCAAAGGAAAAGAAGTACATGTTGAGTGTTGATTTTTTTTTCTCTCTTTTACTTTTGCATTCTGAATGGGAGGACGCAGTGTTCACAAGGACAAAGAAAAAGATTTTAAATAACATTTTGTAACACCACAGGATGTGTGATGTATAATGTCCCTTTTTACATGCACTCATAACTTAAGCCACCGAAAAGTCCAATAAAATACATTTAGGTTTGTGGTTTATCGTCACAGTATGTTCAAAGCTCAATGGGTTTTAAATTCTTTTGGAAGGTTATATAAATACATAAGCCTCCATATTCTCCAAACTTCCTGATCTGTAAACAAATCCCGTCAACCTTCTAATGTCCAGAACCGAAACGATCCGACAATGACAGCTTGCTAGGAAATATCACAGCAGAGCTTTAGAGGCGTCACTTAAAAGCTCAGGGCTGTTGTGTCAACACTTTTAGGAACGCTGAAAGTCACACGCTGCCGCATCGGTAAAACTCTGATTTTCTTTTTCCACTGCTGCTGATCCTGTGTGCTCTGGTTAACCCTAAACTCCAGACGGCCTTTAAAACAGCCCTCAATTCTACTTTGCTTTCAGTATGATCTTGGTAACTAAGGCAACACATTGTTCGCAAATTGCAAAAGCGAACCGCTTTATGTTGCTGAAGCATTATGTCTCGCAGCGGCGGCCGAGGCCTTTTATCACGAGGTATCCCACCGTGTTTAACATAAAGAGAATCTTAAAGCAATCTGAGGGAAATCATAGAATTATAGCTATTAGAGGAACACAAGCTGAGGCTCCATTATTGTAACAAGGTGTGCTTTCAGTAGCACTAAATGAAGTTCTACAGAAGCATAAATCAACAGCAGAGGCTGCAAAGTAACTGGTGAAATGGAAAAATGAAGGTGTTTGATTCAACGTGCTCAGAAATTCACGCTTTAAGCACATTTGCATCATCCTTTAAAGTCGGGACGGTTCCCACTTACCTGCAGTCATGCTAAGGTTTGTTCGCTACAGCTACGAAACAGATCCTGCTTTTCAAAATAAATCACATCGCAGATATAAGAAAATAAATAAATAAATAAATAAATAAATAAATAAATAAATAAATAAATAAAAATGTCTCCTTACTCTACGTTGTGAGAAGCTGGGTTGCTGTTGGACTTGAAGTGAGGGGATGATGGGAGAGTTAAAGAGACGGGCGTGACGCCACGTTTCATAGTCGACCATAAAAATAGGATTTCCTCTGAAGAGTGTGAGAGCGGAAAACTGTGCGACTGTGAGACTGCAGGTGTGTGTCTTGGGTTAAATGAGGAAATAAGGATTATCCTGAGAGCTTCATGTGAAAACCTTATGAAAATCAGGTAATTAAATAGTGTGTGACTATCCTAAGCAGGACCTTTGACATTAAAATCACAGACTTTGCTTAGATTAAGTCAGAAAAGGATTTTGTTTCGGCAACACAAACACTCCAGAGTTATTCGCTACTTTGTGTTCGTCTATTGCATGAAATTCTAATAAAATATTCTGTAATTTCTGGCTGTGATGTGACAACATAACAAAAAAAATGTCCAGGTATTTTTGCAAGGCACAGTGTTTAGTCTATGGTGTGCGCTGACCTGCGGCGAAGAGCATGAAGGCAACGAGGGCGTAGAACCGCCGTCTTGTACCGATGCACACGGCAACCAAAGCGACTAGGAATGACATCAGCACCAAGGCTCCGCCCCCTAGCAACAAGGCCAGTGTGGCAACCTGCCAGTCTGGAAGGGGAGGAAGGGGGAAAGACAAGAAGGAGATAAATAGTAAAATATTTGATCAACATACAGACACGAAAATATTTGATGCAAATTAGTGACTGGCATTACGGGGTCAATATTTACAGGTAGTGGTGTGGATTTCTGTACCCTTCTCCTGACTGATACCTTTGGACAATGAGCTAATTTGGTAAAAATTGACAGCAGGTGTTTAAATGCTGTAGCTGTATCAAAAAGTACATCTCAGTTTTAAACAAAACCTGGAATTTTAACAACATTTAGACTTTATGCTCATTGTACTATTCTCTGCCTCAAAAATATTAGGTTTTATATTAGTATTTTTCCTTTTTAGAAAAACAACCAACTGTAGTCCTTCAAAAAGGAGTTAAAATAGCAGCGTTGTGCTTTTAATTTTTTGCATTTTGGGAAACAAATGAATGCAAAAAAAAAATAATAAAAGGCCTTAAATACACCTCTTGGGAGAACATAAACAACAAGACAAATTATTCTCATTTTGCACTACTCTATTATTTACAAGCGTCAGGTATAATGCATTTATCTGTGGGGGGGGGGTACGGCGGGAAGCGGCGCGGGAGCAAACAAGGCGTGGAAGGGAGAAGCGAGACAGAGCGAGGAGTGTTTGGAAAAGCAGCCAGTTGCAGGAGAGGAGAAACTGAACAAAGTCTAAATGGATGAGTAAACCAAGGTAACAAGGAAGGGGGAGAGGGGTTGGTGGGCTCGGGACATTGAGACAGAGAGTAAAGGTAAAGAAGCGAGAGCAGCAGAAGCAGCTGAGCCTTCAAAAAGCTTTGGCTAAAAAGCTTTACTGGCTTGTTGTCAAAAATTTATCTGAGTCTGTATATGGGGAGCATTTGAGGTTGAAGGGCAGTGAGAAAAGCAAGAACACACAAACCTACCAAACTCACAATAAACTGAACACTGAAGTGTTTTAAATATGATAAAAACTGAATGAGGCATGTTTGATTGTTATGTAACAATCAATAAAGTTTCAACCTTTCTAAGTGATAAATCCTACCTTAGATCCTTACTTTATGCTAAATCTTTTTTTTTTTAGTGGTCATTATTTTGTCAAAATCAGTTTTCACTTTCAGATTATAGTTGTTTTTTTATTGTTTGTGTAAAAATAAAAAAGAAATTTGTTGATCATGATTAATTTGTAAAATCAATAAAAGGGTAAAAAAAAAAAGTCATGCTTAATGTAGGGACTGTAGTAGTTTTAACTATATGAGAAAACTGTTTTCAACCATCTAAGGGCATACACATTTAGGAGCTTATAAATTCCAATGCTCTCTCTCTCTAACCCCCCCCCCCCCCCCCACCCAAAAAAAACAACACCAACCCCCCAACAAAAAACCCAACACAAACACAGTATCAT